ATCTATCTATCTATCTATCTATCTATCTATCTATCTATCTATCTATCTATCTATCAAACATATCTATATGTTAAGAGCTCCCTGAAAAGTCAGCAGCTGTAAACCCATGGTCATCCAAACACGCTTACAGGAAGAGGTTAAGCACTTTCAGTACCATGGGGTTATCCTCTCTTCAGTGTACCCACCAAGGACTTCCCATGGACATACCCACTTGAAAAAATGGGAGCAACACACAGCGCCTTTCTGCCTAAATCCCATCAATCTCAAAGTAGTCATATGGATGAGAAGACTGCAGACAGTTCTGAAGACAAGAAGATGAGGCCTCTTTGGTAGATTCACAAGACTCCTTTCCCCCAGTGAGCCAGCCCTTAATTTGGAGGTGTCCACGGGGGAGGGTGGGGGGGCTGTTAAATGACAACATGATTCTTGCACCAGCACTGCAAGTTCAGCCCCTTTTGTACATGCAGCTTGACATCATGCAGAGATATGAAAGGACCGGAGCTTGCAACGCAACACACACTTCCTAATTATGATGAAAGTGTTGGATCTTTGGACACCACTGCCTTCTCTAAAACAAAATCTTTCATTTCAAATTCAGTGCGCTTTTAAAAAAACTTAATTTGATCAATGTTTATCAATGCTACATTCAGCTCTAGATGTACAATTTACAACCATATGTTTATTAGCATGAACATTTTAGAAACCATAATTAATACTGATACTTTTTTTCTTCTTATCTTTAAAGGTTTAGTTTATCTAAATCATAGTGTTAACAATCTCTAGTTAATGTAACCAAATAATATAATGTATTACTTGTGTCTTATAATACGATAAAACATATTTTAAAAAAACTGGAGAAGACAGAATGACCCACTTTTCAGAGATGAGTAGGCAACATTTGCCACTTTAATCTACTGTCCTGCTAGACCTGGTGCAAACACACTCACAGATTTTATATCCCAGCTTCTCTGCATGGATCCTTTTGGCCATGAACTGTCCTTCAATCAAGGCCCGTATTTCCACTTCCTTTGGGAATGTTGGTGTCTGAAAAGAAATTAAATATATAAGCATCCAATCCAATCTTTTTGGGGCGGGCAGTTGGAGGGTTACCTTTTATGGTGCCTTGGTAGATTTCTTGACAACTGGACAGTTTCTCTTTGCAACAGTTGTTCAGTCACACACATGCAAACCTCCCAGAAGTTCATGACAACCCAAACACTGCCTGTAAATCATGCGTTAATTTGTGAACTAATTGGGATATTCTGGGAGTTGAAATCTAAAGCGTCTTAAGGGCATCTCATCACAGAAAGCTGATCCATCCATTTTGGAGCCCTCAAAAGAGTTCTGATTCTTTTATGACATTTTGGTTGGTCTTAATAGAGGTACGGTCTTAGACTGCATTTCAGGAAAGGCAAAATTAGCACCTGGCAATTTTACAAGTGCACTTGACATATAGGGAATCTGGAGCATGAATGAACATATAATGGGCTCTTACCTGGACTTTGTGGGTGTCGAACCTGTGAATTCCCACAGCTTCTGGTGTAATTTCCATCACATCAAAATAGAAACCTAAATTAAATATTAGAAAAAGTAAACCTCCGTACTTGTGTTCAGTAACAAGAATAAGTCTTCAAAGGATTACAAATAAAATGCCAGCCTCACCCAAATTTTTGCATCACAGCTTGTTGAACAAACTACGGGTAGTCCTCATTTAGTGACAATTGGGACCAGCAACTCAGTCGTTAAGCGAAGCAACTAAGTGAAACTGCAACTGTGCTTATGATCTTACTTCAGCTTTCCTTTGCTTTACAGACCTGCGAAGGTTGTAAATGTGAGGATTGGTCGCTATGTTACTTCTTCATCGCCGTAACTGTAAACTGTCACTATACGAGGCAGTTGTTAAGTGAGGACTACTTGTATAGCATTCACACCTAATAGTAAGCCATCATGGGTGGGCTCATACATCAATGCTACAGAAACCATGTTGTGGTTTAGCTTTATATGGGCTCCAGGTCAGTTTGGGGATGAACATACAATGCCAAAGAATCACATGCCAGAGTCAAAGTTCTGCAGGGACTTTCTTATCATTTGCAGGGCTGGTTTTGCAAAGGAGTGAGCTCTGCCCCGTACTGAGGATTTCTCCTTCTTTCCTGCTGGCTGCATTTACCTCAGTCTTCCCCAAACTGGGTGCCCTCCAGATTCCAATTCCCTGAATTCTCAGCAATAACAAGCTGGCTGGGGAATTTGGAGAGTTAAAGTCTACAAATCTGGAAGATGTCCAGGATTGCTTAGTTGGCTCCAGCCCATACTTCTGATGGGACAGGCAGAAGATTGCCTGCTGTTCTGGCAGAAGAGAAAACATTGATTCTGCTCCATTCGCTTCTTTCCTGAAATAAACCCCACATAGCTGGAGGATGGAAAAAGAATCCAAAATCTTCCAAGATACCTACCCACATTTCCACCATTTCCAGCAGCTGTTGATACAAGAGCTTTGGAGAATTCTTCCCATGAACCCAAAGCACGCTCATCTCGGACCTTCTCTCTCATCAAGGAACCATTCTTGTAGCTAAAACAAATAATAACACATGTATTATATGATTTCCCCAAGAGGCTGAGTCAGAATTCTGAAGCAACACTGTTGTATTGTTTGACATTAGAAAACTAGAAGGCATCTGCAGGACTGCAATGCAGGAGCGTAGATCTGAAGAAAAAGTTCATTTGCACAAATATATATTTATATTCAAGTCTGGAGACCTCTTAATGCCTGACTTCGCCATGATTTAGCATAAGTGTATAAGAAATGGATGACTAGATTCTTGAGTTTCAATAAATGGGATCCTATTGCCACTGTATCCCAATCTTCAGTTCCCATAATACCCCAGGCAACATGGCTGATGGGGAACTATGGGAATTTAATACCTTTGCAATTGGGGAAGACCTGACATAACCAAGTATTCTCTTCTAAGATACAATTCACTAAATCTCTGGTGAGGAAAGATAATGTGATGTAGGATTATTTTCACACAACCAGTCTTATTTGCAAGTTAAAGAGTTTAGGTCTCTTCCACTGCATTGGTAACAATGGTAGTCAGGCTATCCAAACCCAGAAAAACTGTGATCAAACTTCTTCAATGAAAAGGTCTTTTACTAAATTGTTACAAATTAGGCAAAAAATAATTAGTGAATAATTGGAATAAATTTATTATTTCCCGCAATTTCACCTGTGAAGTTATCTGGCTTTTCCCTGCTACACAACTTACGATGCAAAGATCTATAATAAGGGAATGACACATGCTATTATCTTCATTTTTGAGCAGTGAAGTGTTTGGAATAAATTACCTGAATTTATGTCCATCCTGCAAACAGCCTTTCCCAACATGGCTCCTTCTAGGTTGGGATGGCAGCGTTCAACGGTCTAACCAACATGACTGATCTACAAATTGCAATCCCCATAAATCTGGAGACCTCACCTTTAGACTTTAATGGCAGGGTTTTGACAACTGCCATCCCAACGTATCGTCAGAGCAACTGGGGGAATACAAAATGCAGTCTGCAATAGCTTAAAGCAGCCACCTCTTTTCTTAGGACTGAGCAACTGTCCTCCATAGCAATCCGGGGAAAGAGGGAGCTGTTTTAATGCATTTCAGACAGGCAATGCACAAACATCTTGTGAGCTCCAAAGAACCTTTTGGAGATCAAATCCAAAGCACCGAAAAGATAAAATAGATGACATAAATTCTGACTTTTCATGAAGCTCATCTGATACGTCATGCAGTAGAAGGGAACACACCAAAGGAGGGCCATATATGCTTGTGAATCAACTGGATTACAGAGAATGTGACCTTCCAAAGCAGGCTTTGGCTCTTGAATCCAGAGAAACAAGGTATCGCTAGTGCCAAGGCTAATCTGGGGAAGAAAATAATCAAGGTATTAGCACAAAAGCATAAAAAGCAATACAGGAATTAAATCAAACCCATTTGTTTCCCCTGCTAATGATGTTTAAATTACACACTACGGCAATTGAATTCTTGTGGGTATCGGCTTGGCTTGTCACCTTTGTATGAAACATAGAGCAGAAAAAAGTCTAATGAAATCTAAGGATTTATTATGGTAAATTCATGGCTACATAATCATCAATGAACAAGGGCAACATCAGCTGGAGCCTAAAGCAGTACTCAGATCACACATCACCAGGCAAACTTCCCTATCACCTACAGGCTTCAGTCCAAGCCATATTTTTCCATGGCAGGTGTCTACACTTTCAAGACAAGGGAAACCAGACAGATGGGCGCGCCTGAATCCCCAAACTGGGAGCCAAACTGGTCTGGAATACCCAGCACTGTTGGCTATGTTGACTGAGGGGTGATGGGAATGGAAGTCCTGGAAGCTCAGCATTTCCAGCATTGTTGGCCATGATGACTGGGGGACGCTGAGAGTTGAAGTCCACATTTCTGATAGGGTGTACGCGGGAGAAGGCTGAACACGATACATTTGGGGAATAAAACTAGCATCCTGTTCTCAGCAGAAATCAAATCCATTAGTCGACAGCACAAGACAAAACAATGCCCACTTCTATGTTAGTCGAGATACTGTAGATCATGAAATTTAACTGCTCTAGATGCCACTAATCACAAGGGAAAGCTTTAGGAACAGGCCTGCATCAATTCCACCAAAATCAATGGGATCTGAATAGAGTACATAACACGGGGGTGATCTGTAAAGTCACGATGGCATAGGTCTTAAGGATTCCTAATCCGATTAACAGTATGAATGTTAGTTAATGAAGATGGTGACACTTACCGCAATGTCTCCTTTCGCAAGTCTCATTCCAGCCAGAGATGCTGAAAATGCAAATAAGGAAGTTCAGTTAAAGTAAAGGTTACGCAATGCATACAAACAAAAAATTACCCACACTGAATTCTCACTGATACCAGCGAGACTGAAGATACCAATTATCAACTGAGTTTCTAATGGTTATAGCAGGACTTAAGTAGATCTTTCTTTCTTTGAATGGCTGCACTTGATTTTGAAAACACTAAGGTTTCTCCAGGAAAAGTATGTTTTAACACAGGGTTGAAGAAATTATTCCTAGAGAAAAGTATTCCTACAGAATAATTATACAGACATTTCACTTGCCTTCATGAGATTAAACTGAACGAAAAGAAGATCCTTGCCCTGAAAGAGAGGCTCAGAATTTTAAACCTTCTTACCTGGATTGTCCCCAGTAAATGCAACTATTTTGCAGGCAGGATTAAATCCAAAGCGTTCAGTGTAATATGGTGAAATTAAACCCTAAAAGAGTGAAATTTAACAATTACTTTTAAAAACAAATGATCTGACTCTTGGTTTCAGAACAGTGCGTTTTTAGGCTTCCCCTCCAAAGCATGTTGAGACCTTCCCTTACCAAATTACAATTGCCCAAATCCCTTGGAGGAAAATCAAGATGAAGTACCAGGTTGAATTTGCAAAAGATGAACTATTTGTATCTATTTGCTTATTGAAGGGAACCAGGCAGTTTTCTTAACCTGGTTTGCTTTTAGAGCCAAACTCAAAGCAACCACTGCATCAAACAATCTTGGAACCATCAATTTCCAAAATAATACTCAACCATCCTAATGATGACAACAGAAGCTCTTTCATCTGGTCATTATAAAACAGCATTCTCATTAAGCAAAGGGAGGTGGATGGATGGACAGATGGATGGATGGACAGACAAGATTCCAAGCAAGGGTCTATCAACACTACAAATAAGAAATGGTTTAAAATACCACTGTTTCTCCTAAAGATGTCTGCGAATCAGATGATTTTTAAAAAGCCTGAACTTTTTAAGAGAAACAATGACAATTTAAGCCAGTTTAAATCTATAGCGAGAGTCAGTCTGGTGCAGTGGAGAAGGCACCAGGATAGAAACCGGGAGATGGTGAGTTCTTGTCCTGCCTTAGGCATGAAGCCAGCTGGATGACCTTGGGCCAATCTCTCTCTCTCGGCCCTAGGAAGAAGACAATGGCAAGCCACTTCTGAAAGTGTGCCAAGAAAACTGCAGAGACTAGTCCAGGCAGTCGCCAGGAGTCAACACTGACTCGAAGGAGCAACAACAATGACTCTATAGCACAGATGTTCCCACTGACAGTCCAAATACATGCAGGACACACAGATTTTAATTCTGATTTCTCCCACTGTTAAACTCACCTTATTTGTTCCACAGTTACACATACCAGTATTTTGCTGGAGGGCACAGGTTGGCCCAGTTTTTTTCCTAACTGGGGTGCACAAGCATCAAGGCAGGCTGGATTCCAAACTTTTTCCTGGATCTGCAATAAGTTCATGCCAGATCCTGCAGGAAGAAAACAGAATTCTTTTCTGACAGAGCCCCCCAGAACGTAATCTAAAGATTGTATATAGGCCGACAGGAATGAAAAGAAGGAAGAAGGATGAAAAAAATGTTATCCTAAAATCTAAACTCTATGCAACTACCATTACACAAGACTGTTCCTCATTTGTTTATTGCTATTATTGGTGTATCATTTATTATTATCAGACACATACTGGGCATATGAAGTTTGCAGAGTAAGACAGACCTGAGAACAGAAAACTTAACTATCAGGTAAACCAAACAGGCTAACGGCCCTTCCAAAAAAAGTATCTGGAGCCAGACAAGAGTTATCAAAATCAGAGCAAGCAACATATTCTGTTTTCAAGTGGCAACATTAAATTGCCACTCAGTGGCCAAACAAGGTGAGAGAAGTTATGGATTTTTCTTATGTAGGTATTTCGAAGTAGGGATGCATTTACGAAGAAGGCCTTGCCTTGCAGAATACAGATTTCACCAAGGGGAGTGAATGAACGCATACCAAAGGTTGGCCCGAATGATCAAAGCAAACAAAAGGCAATTCACAGCCTCATAGCTATCTATTGGGTAAACGAGATAGAGGCTAGGAGCTCTTCTACTCATCTACTGGATCAACATTCATAGTTGGATCTTCTTCCTTTACCTGAGGTTGCCCACTGAAACACCTAACAAAAATATCTTCCTGGCAACCAAGCACATTTTTCTACTCCAAATTTGGGCTTTCTCTAGATCTACTGCCACTTTTAGGTTTGTGATCCAAGCTGTGAAAGAGGAGAACTGGGGATTAAGGAAGTCTTAGGATGTAGTTGCAGAAAATGTTGGAAGATATCCTTCTGACTAAACTTTAAGTGGCCTCAGCTGTGCTAGAGTTTTTGTGAAGTCCCACAGCTTTGAAACAGAAGCAATCTCTCTGAGACTCTAGTCCAAGGAGGTCCCTAGAACAGAGACACACATGGACACGCATTTGAGAAGACATTTCACAACAAAAGACAGAAGGACGCTGATCATCTAGCCATAATTACCAAAATCTCAGCAGCATGAGACAGAACTTTAGCTCAGTCCTCTCTAATCATAAGCCTTCCAGATTTGCATAATTCCAGATTCTCCAATCAACAGTTACAGTCCCAGTGAATCTGAAGGGTTCCAGGTTGGGGAACACTGGACTAGATTATGGAACTTAGACAAGGAAAGGCCACCAGCATCCTTGGAAGCTTCCTTTGTACAAGAGAGAAAAAAATACATTGTCTTGTTTTTCTACTTTCTCTCCTGCCATCTCTCTCCTTTTTTCCTTTTTAAAGCGGTGAAAGCCCAAATATTTATTCTCTTCTCTTTTTCTCCTCATTTCTCAGCTTCAAGCAAGCTCTCTTCTTCCTTCATCTCCTAGAGAGATGGGCAAATCTTTCCTGGTAGGCGTTGCTGTTTGCTCTGATGTCCAAAAAGCAGAAAGAAGAAAAGCTAGTCCCAGCTACAATTCCCAGAGTCTTATTTCTACCCACTCCCTGTTCTCCATCTCCCTTGAATAGAGAAGCCTTAAATCTGCTCTTCTTCTGGGATCCTGCCAGTTCTCCAGTTACTGCTGGAGGAAGGAGACACTGAAGTGAACTGCCAACTGGCATGAGGCTGAACTGGTTCTCTTGCCACAGGCCAGAAAGCAATTAGCAGGCGGGCAACTTGCCACAGGCACTTGCTCAATCCAAAAATGAGGATTATGAACACTTTCCAGGCCAGGTGGGAGTTATTTTACAGATCTTATCTTCTCCTCTATGTACAGGGCACTGCATTTCCCCATTTAAATGATGCATCCCTTAAAATGCATCCCCTAATAAGGGGCTGAAATACGCCCAACACCGAATCGAGTTTTAAAACTTTCATTGTCTGTGTAATGCAAAAGGCAACAGGAAGAGAAGGGAAGAATGGAGTGATTCTGGACACAGGGACAGCGTTCTTTGCAAGCAATGGGACACCTGAAAGGATCTGGATTGAATGAACCTTACAGGCACAAAGACCAAGAAACAGCACTATTAATGACTGTAGGATGATATCAGATGGTTAGAGGCGTAGAAAGCAGAACAGAAGTGGGTATAAATCTAAGAACGGATCCCTTATGTTTAACACAACATCATGAAGATGACAAGCACATAGATTGGGAGCCCTCATTCTTGTGATCACCATGTCCTTCTTTCTACAAGGACAAATAGCCTGGACTCATCTTTCCAAGAGGCCCACAGCAACAAGAGATGACCATGTCACCTCCTTTTGCCCTAACCAGTAGGCCTGTGCAACTCTTCAAGTTTAATCTCCAAAAAAGACCCACTTCAGATGTTACAGGAGAGAGAACCCAGCACCTGCCTGCAATCGTTTAAAACAGTGTTCCTCAACCTTGGTTAAGATGAGTGGACTTCTACTCCCAGAATTCCATTGGGTGGGGAATTCTGGGAGCTGAAGTCCACACATCTTAAAGTCCTCCAGGTTGAAAAACACCGGCTTTAAAGAATGGTCTTTTCCTGGGATTACACATCAACTATCTAGTGCAGCTGAAAGATGCTCCCCCGCCCCTGAAGAATAGGCTGATTTAAAGTGGTGCAGGTGAGTACCATGTTCATACTCCTGTCCACTCAAAAGCACTTTTTGGAGAACAAATCTGAAGCACTGAAAAAGCCTAATAACCAGCCAATGTCAATCAGGCTGTTTTAGAAACGTGGATAGCATTTTCTGCTTAATGTATGCTGCCTGGCAAGAGGATACAAGGGATAACACATAGCCAAGCGATTAAGTAGATGGCCAACTCTTTTTTGTTTTCCTTTAAAAGCTGGTAAAGCTCAGAAGCATCTTCCAAACTGAATACAATCTGGGAATATCCTGGACCTTCCTGTGAAGTTATTTTATCCCCTAACTTTAAGTGTGCTAGGTGTAAGAGTAAAAAGAAAAGAAGTATCGTGGCACATTATAGACTAACCAATTTCATTTTGTTACAACATAAGCTTTGGTGGATCATGTCCACTTCATCAGGTGAAGGGACCATGCAGGCAGCTATAGGAGGAGGAAGAATAAGAGACAGGATTGCTAGGAGACCTAGAAGGCTGAGGGAACTGCACAATCGTCTTCATAAATAAACTGCAGAGATTCCTGCATTCTTTCAAACAGTTATAAGCCCATTATCATGTGAATTTTACTCTCCTGAAAACCAAGGTTCAACAAGCAGCTGTTTTGGGAAGAGAGAGAAGGGAAAAGGAAGGAGAAAAGTCTTCCCACAAATCACAAGCATTCTTTCTTTCTAAGCGTACATCTTCAAGAGCTGAGCCCAGGGATATAAAACCCAGGATAATTATATTTTCAAGCCTGGCCAAAACTAAATCTTCAAAATGCAGCGGTCCTAATGTGCTGGTTTTGTGCAGACTTAATAACACCTTACACATAAAGTATGCATGAGTTAAGAGGTTGTTTTCATCTATTACATCATTCCTCAGTACCTAAAAGCAATGATAATGTGGTTTTCCGACGAACAGGGAACGGAGGGGAGAGAAATGAATGAATCCATTAGCCACTGACAGCATGGCTGTAGATTTCTTCTGTAGAAGCATGGGACAAATTAGGAAAGATCTAATTAATTAAATGCATTTGATTTGCATGGAACAAAATTGATCATGTTTAATAAATTGCGTCTTGTTTTACACATCGTTACACTCCAGCAATCTACATAGTAGGGATTTTTTTCTTTAAATGAATCTAATAGTTACACTACAATCTATTCCTGTTACCCTAGGAAAAGCCTCACTGAACTCGGTGGTCCTTGCTTTGTAGTAGATATGTAAAAGATGACACTGTTGGCAGTTTTAAATGCATGGTAGACCTGTAGGGTGAGCTGGTGATCTGTAACAGGCAAGGGTGGGAGATATGTCCTCCCGGGGTGGGGGGGAGTGGAGGTCTTTCAACCTCACAGCCATGCAACGGGGAAAGAAAAATATTGATCTGTCTTACAGAATTACATCAAGATTATTGAGAGGAACGACATGAAATGCAAATAATAAGAATAACAATACCAGCAACAACTCTTGGTGCCATACCAAAAGATCTGGAAAAGCATTTAGACCCAAAAGGAATGGACAAAATCTCTACCATTACAAAATGTTGCATACTTGGAGCAGTGCACATAATACAACAATATCTTTAACTATCGTAGACCCTTTGTGTAAATAACCACCATCACGTACTTGTTATTATTCTTATTAATGCACTTTTATATTAGGCTTTTATTTTGAAGGAAAGGATTTATTAATTAGGGCTAAAATCTCAATTCTGTCAAGACAGGCAAGAAGCGACCCGGAACTTTGCTCGGTTAAAGTCGACTGGAAGTGTACAAACAGTGCTAGAAAGAAGTGCCAAATGAGTTGGCATCTCAGCGTGTTAAATTAGAAGAGGCAAAAGAAAATACGGCACATCTGTAACGAATCTACAGAAGCCAGAAATTTTCTCATTATTAAACAAAGCAAAAGGCAAGCAAAGTTTGATGGGAAGGAAATGAAATCCCAGGACTAGAGCAATATGAAAGCAGAAACTTCCCACCATGATCATAATAAAGAGCTGAAGAATTACAAGGAAGGAGCAGTCATAATAAAACTAGACTACAACAAGCCGAGTAAACAGTCCCATTAAAGCAGCTGCATCTTTCCCTGGGCTCATATGGTTGCCTTCTGCAGCTGCTGCGCAATCTTGGAAAAAGATGCATTTGGTTTAAGGTACTCTTGACATTATATGTGCATTATCCAAGCATTCCCCAAATCACTTTCTGCCACTTGAATCTGGATTGCGGTGCAACCCTCAATCAGAAGGAGTCTGGAAGCATCATTTCCAACCAATAAATGTTATTAAAAGGCATCTGGCTACCCAGAAGTGCAGAACAGTCACTCCTACTTTATCTCCCATTAATTGGCCATATCACCATCTGACTTGGTCTTCAAAGCCTGTCAGGATGATTTGGTACCAAATGTGGTTGGCCGATCTGATGAAATCTGTGAAGATGTACAATGAGCATCCATGGCCCTCAGCAGCAAATATCTCCCTGGAGAAGCTCACTTTGGCCTAGTATTAAAAACCTGTTAGGAACAGAGGCAAATGAATTTCTAGTCTAACCAAGTTTTTAGTCACCTTCAAATGACTTGCTACTGAATCCTTGCACCCATGTCTTCTTTGAAGTAACAGTTATTTCTCAAATGGTTTTGGTGGCCTAAGTACCGGAACTTTATAGGTAGCTGCTGAAAGGAGTCTTGATTGCAAGCCACGTTAGGCTTGGAAATGGAATTAAATAAATACTAATGGCAAAGGAAAAAGAAAACCTTCTTAAGCACAAGGTCTGAACCATCCCATAGAAGGATCATCCGTTGTTTAATTTTCGTGACACATTGTTCAGCAGCTTAATCAGGCAGAAAGTATTTCCAGTGTACGGCATTTTATTCTAACCTCCTGTGAACTCTGTGTCTATGTGAGTCTGCATGTGTGAGAGAGAGAGACAAGAACAGAAAAGGGGAAAAGATCCATTCTTCTCAGTTAAACACTCATTAACTAGCATTCTAATGGAGCACTGCCCCAAAGTTTCACGCAAGGGGTCATCAGTCACTTCCCTTCTTTGTAGCCACCCTGTGTAGCTACAAAAACCAGAAAAGCAAAGTCTCCCAGCTCAGGGTTCAGCAACAACTACAAATCAGAGTCAATGTCTAGATGAAAAGTGGATTCAATAAGCAGATGAACAGAGAAACTCAATAAACAGATAGGATGGATACGCTATCTCCCAGCAAGCACTATTGATTAATTGCTCAAGCAGGCCCAGAAATGTAGTTGCACTTTTCCTAGCAATTGTACAGCTAGGGTTACAGCCATATATACTTAGGGAGATGCACTTAATACACCTAGATAACCTTAGCTGATCTTCAAAAGTTAAGCAGGTTCAGATCTTGTTAATGCTTGAATGGCACACTACCATGAAACCCAAGAGCATGCTAGTCTACAAGGTTGAAAAAAAAATCTAGAAAAGGCAGTTAAGAAACCACTTCTTTATTGTTAGCAAGGAAGCCAGATAAGCGTGTCTGGGTATTCATCAGGAATCAGGCTCAAGAGGGACTCTAGCATTAATGGACAGAAATTTGAAGCTAGCAATCCTCATTTTTCTAGTGGCTTGGTTGCAGATTTGGGGCTGGCTGGGTCACCACTGAAAGACTCCTCAAGCATCATCAACCAGACGTCTTTCAATGTGTGAGAATGCAGTTGCCAGATTCTCAGACAACTTGGAAGGCACCAGATCTGGGAGGGCTTCTCTACCCTTTCCTTGTAGACCTTTAAATGAAATCATTCCTCTTCCGAGGGTCAGTCCCTTTTATAACTTCTGTGCAACACCAACCAGTGGATCAGAAAAGTAAGGTCCTTTCAAACAACCTCACCACACATCAGGGCCTATTCTGCCAAAGTAAAGGACTACAGTATTTCCCTGTTATTATTTTTTTTTAACAAATAGAACAATAAAGGAATAATGAAAGCCAGAGGCAAATTGGGTCACCTTGAGGATTCATCGGATAGTTTGGATTCGTGAGTAGGAAATTAACACATCTCCAGCCAGAAGAATGTTGCTTGTGGTTGTTTCAGAAAGGACAATACATCAAATGACACATTTAAGTTGATTAGTCTCAAGTTTCTCGCTTTGAAAAAAATCCACCCAGAATAAATGGAAATATGCCTAATGCTTTGGGGCACTTCTTTCCACAAAAATAAATAAAAATCAATCAAAAGAAGTACAAAACATTCTATAAGAAGAGATTTGCATCTCCTGGAAATGGCTTAAACTTCATTCCAGATTTTTGGTTTCTGACACAGGTTGTCTGGTGAAGTTTATTGGATTTTTTTATAGCGTTCTTTCCTACGAGAAATTCCCTCTTTAATTGTGGTTAAATACTGCCTGGGTAGCCACATTACCTATGCAAATGCTATGCACGATTCCTTCTTGGTCAGGAGTGGAAGCTAATTAGCAAAACCAGGGGAAGCTGGTTTGCGTCAAATGTAAGCCAAACAGTATTGGTGTCGTCCTTGGCTTTAGAAGTCATTACCAAAGATTTGATGATGGGCACTATCTTGGATGGCTTCAAAAGAGGATTGGATGAATTCTTGGAGTGATTCAGTAAGGGCTATTAGTCTCAATGTTACTTCTGGTTTGAAGGCAGCATGCCTATAAATACTAGTTGCAGAGAAAGAATAGCAAGAGAGGAGCGTGCTTCCATCTTCTGGTTGTGAGCAGAGACATCTGCTAGGTACTATGAAAAACAAGTGCTAGATTAGGATGGGCCCTGGACTGATCTAGCAGGCCTATTCTGATGTTCTTCTGTTCTTACAGAGTAAAAAAGAAACTGAAACCAAGAAGAATGGGTTCATTTAGGGTTTAAGACCCTAGAACACCATTTAGGGTTCTCCAGTTGGGCACTTCCAACACAATAGGGGAACAACACCAAGAAGAACAAAAGGAACAAGAAAAGGAGAACACTATTGCCATATACGACTGATATTTTAACGTGAAGCCCACTGCAGTACAGATGGTGTAAATAAATCATGGAAAGAAAATGAAATGCAATGAAATAAAAAAGGAGATAAAATTGATTATTGCAAATATCAAATACTAATTTTTAAAAAGTACATAAAGCAAGATAATTGTTTTGTGGGGCATTTGGACTAAAAAATTAACTCTTCTAGAAAGACACAAAGTTGGGGGCAGCCAGTCCAGACAGCTTGAGAGAGAGGAAGTTTGGCCAGAACTCTCCAGCTAACACATTTTGGATTGAGAGCTAGGGACTCAAACCAAAAAAAGAAGGTTGGTCCAGTAGGAGAAAAAAATGATTTGATCAACATGTATATTAATTAAAATTAAATGGACTTAGTGTTCAATCCTCAATTTAATCATTTTCCCCTTATGTCACATTAAAAAAATATAATCTGACAGCCTTTGAAGCTTTCTGAAGACCATGCTCAAGGAGAGTTTGGGGCCACATGGAACCCTGAACTCTCCAATTTTGTATGTCTGAACTAACCCCAAGTCAAGGTGGGACTTGAACCCAGGCTTCCAAACTCAGTTCATCTAATAAATCTGACCTACTTCACAGAGAGAATTTGAAGAGATTGACTTTATCTTTCAAGTACCAACACCATTTTTGAATGGCCTCTTTCAGGTCACCAAGAAGAGGACATCCTATTGTCTCCATTCTCTCCCACTAGTCAATATCGTACGTGGGGTTGAGCCCCTCAGAAAAAGAAGACAAGTCACTTACCATCACTATAATCTATGGGAGCATAAGCACCCAGGAAAAGGGAGGCTGCAAAGCTGCTGACCAAGGAAATTCTCTGGAGGAAGAAAAGAAAAGAAAAGGAACAAGGAAGCAAGGAAATAAACATACAACATTCATTTCTGTTTCATAGACAATCAAGAGCAGCCTCAAACGAAGTGTTTTGAAACACCCACTGGGTTAAGCAAGCACTTAAGATGTTGTTTTCAGAAAGAGGATTTGAGAGTGCTTAACTGTGGTAAGATCTTGCTTTGATTTTTTTGAGAGTAACAAAATCTGGCAAAGACTAAGCTGCCAGAAATCTCCCTCTCTCTCCCTTACACACACAAACACACGGATTTCCAAAGAACTGAAAAGCAAAACTTTGAAGGAGATAAGAATTAGTTCATCTTCTCTGTACCATTATATACTGGCAGGGAAGGGATAGGAGTCAGTTATATTCTTGGTACCTGTAATAAAAAGGATGGGAAGCAGGAAGATGGGAAAAAGAGCTTCTATTAGCTGGACAATAGATGTCTAAGAACAGAAGCAACTAGAGTCTTATGCTACAGTTGGATTTCCAAACTGTGCTAAGCCATAATGGGGTTTGATTTGGGGCAAAGTCAGCCATGGTGGTTTGCAAACCATGGTTGATGACTCATTGTACTGTGCAAGGCCAGCTGCCAGTAGTTTACTCTGCAAAACATGGTTAAACCCATGAGAAAGAGCAAACCAACCACAGTGCACAAACTCAACCAATATGAGACCAACTCCAATATTTTGGGACATTGGGATATACGTATGTATGAATGAATGAAAGAATGAATGAATGGATATGCATATGGTGTCTTTTTATGTTAGTGTATATATATACCCACACACAAGTGCTAAATATATGATTATAATCAGCTGCCATAATAAGGAAGTTTACCAAATAAATTGGCCCTTCTTCCTTTTCCCTTGGAGAGTGAACTGAACTGAAAAATGATGAGAGCAACTAGAACATAACAGTATTTATATATTATTAAGACTGAAACACAAAGGATAGCTTCCTGCCCCCAAGGAGATTATAATTTTATAATCCTTAAATTATCGTACAGATCTTGTGTTTAATAAAAATATTTCAGACAAAGAGCAGTAAGATCAAAAGGAGGAAAACTAAGCAAGAGATCAAGCATATTGAGTCCACCCAGACATCATCCGTTTCTTGAACAGAGACATCTCCAACTTGGTGCCCTCTAGATCCATGTTTCTCAACCTTAGCAACTTTAAGATATGTGGACTTCAACTCCCAGAATTCCCCAGCCAGCTTTCAGCTCTGCTGGCTTCAAATTGTGGGATGTAAAGTTCAGCCACGTCCACAAGGGAGTCAGAAAGATGAAAACAGGTTTGTGACACAAGCCCGGCCCCTTTTGTATATACATTGTGATGTCACACAGGTATGCAAAAGGGGCAGAGCTTGTGACGACAGGCCACAACACAGCTTTCACCTAACAAAAGCTGCAGACTTCTGCAGACGTCATGGATAAAGTCCACCATATTCCAAGGACAGTCAATCGCTAAAGACTGTGCTGAAGAATGACATCTAAGAGGTTGTACCAACGACTTCATGGGAAAGATGGAGGGGAATGAAGGAAGAAAAAAAAGAAACAATTTAATAAACCCTGATTTATTCCCCTACTCCTAATCAGCACCCACAGAATCCAGATATTTTGTTGAAATAAACCACATATCATCTCAGTTGATGATATGGGCAGCCATACAATTTGAATAAATTAAATAATAAATAAATAACAATCATGCAAGCTTTGCCCTTAGATACTAGCATGCAATATCACAGCTCAAGTACAAAAGGGGTGGATTTGGCTCACGAACCAAATTTTGTCATTTGCCCCTATCCCGGCCCTCCGTGGACACCCGTGCACACATGCTGGCTGGGGAATTCTGGGAGTTGAAGTCCAGACATCTTAAAGTTGCCAAGGTTCAGAAATACTGCTGTAGATCAAAAGCTAATGCAGAGATGCCAACTTTCTTTGAAGTTTGCAGAGCATTTCAGAATTGCATTGCAAGAGACAACTGGACTTTTTTTTTTTTAAAAAAAAGGAAAATAAATCATCTGGTAATAGTCCCCATCTCTAGATTCTGACTGGGAGAAGGGATCACATCTAGAATTGCATTTCTAGCATAAAAGCATGACCTCAGTTAACAAAATAGCTAACATTAGGGATGAGATTAACAATGATGCAGAATCAGCAGCCACTTTTACTGAACCTTCTTCCATAGATCTCTTTTCTGTTTAATGAGGATTTTTTAACTGTTACCATATTTATGCTAATGCAATTTGTACCGGTATTGTGATAAGTTTCCCTTCCAAACCATAATAAAACCTAAATTAGTTATGATTCCCAATAAACGAGGAGAAGATTAGCAAACCTCAGTTTGTGAATAGACTTCAGGATTCTGGCTGTAAATCTTCGCTATCTGGTTTCCTGTAAAACGCTGAGAAAAGACAGGCAACCAGTACTTAGGAACACAAATTGTAAATCGAGTCAATAATAATTAACTCAGCATAATGAGTTCAGGACATTGCACCCTGGATATTTAATTTATTAAATGCATAACAGCAGTTGCTACTCAGATGCAATAGGCATAAAACAGACGGTAATGCATTGACGTGTGAATTTTTAACTCACCTGGAGTTAAAAAAGAAAACTGGAAAATAGTCTTACTCATAACAGCATATATTTCAGAAACAGTAGATCATGGAAATTGATATTCCTGGACATTTAGGCAAGATCTCAAAAACACACAGGAATGACTCATTCGCACCAGAGGTGAAAGGGAGCAACACAAGGGTGTGGATACCTGTAACGGTATGCGAGAATGACCTTGGGAGACAGGAGGAAGAGCTGCAGCCTAAACAACAGTCTGATAAATGAAATCTGAGCCCAAAGGAGGAGAGGTGGTGAAAGCATCTCAGAAAGGATCCTCCCTTGTTTTCGGGAAAGTAAAAGTAAAGGAGGGGAGTTATTTTCAGACTTGCCAGATTCTGTAACCTTACAATAAAGATAGTGTTAATATTCATGGTTGGTGTTTCTTGTCTGGACTACCTCAGAAGGCTGACATCAAGTCTTGCAAATCTCCACCCCCATGCCTCCTTCAAACTCAGATTTCTTTTATCAGACCGTTGTCTAGGTTGCATCTCCTCCTCCTGTCTCCCAAGGTCATTCCCACATACCATGACAAGACCAAGATCTCAGGCCACACAGCACGCTCAGACAGCTGAATTTCAGCAGGACACTTTGAAGGCCTTGGGGGGAGTCTGTGGGAGGTGGAAGTGGTTTGTCTCCCAGATCCCTCCCACTCACATTCCCACTCTAATCCTACCCTGAAAAACTAACCAAAAAAATCTGAACAGTTCGATCCTGCCTCTTCCAGTTTCCTTATTGTACCACCAGACAGTTTCCTGTGATCTTCCAGAAGGTTAAGAGGCCAGGTTGCAGGTCCTGATCCCTTAGGAATCACCCCACTCCTACTGCGGTGGTTAGAGCAGTGTTTCTCAACCTTGGGAACTTTTAAGATGCA